CTCCACTGACTCCCTTTCGGCTTCCAGATCACATCTGATTCTTGTTTGGCATTTAAAGTCCTTCCCAATCTGATCCCAACCTACCTTTCTGGCCTTTCTACCCATTAGTCGTCTTTACATATGCTGTGGTCCTGCCAGACTGACCTTGCTGTTTTGACACATGAGAAATAGAGCACTGGGCCTGGAGTCCTGAATTCAAATCTTGCAGCAATTACTTCCTAGCTGTGTAACCACATAAGTTACTTCACCTGTCAATCTCACCTTCCTCCTCTGTAAAATGAGGATGATTAGCACTCTGCTCCCAGGGGTGTTGTTAGAATCAAAGGAGATAATATCTGTAAAGTGCTTAGCACAGTACTTGGCCTGTAGTAGACTCTTAACCAAAGTTTGCTTCTTTCCTTCCTCCATCCACTCCTTTCTACGGGCTGCTCCCTATGCCAGGATTTTATTCCTTCTTCATTTGCCCCTGTTGGAATCCATGGTTTCCTCCATGACAGTTTAAGGGACTTTCCTTTGACTCTTAATAGCTCGGGGACATTAGCAGAATACTCAGGGGGCCCATCCATCATCTCCCTTTCTTGTTCCATGACCAAGTCCAACGGAAAGAATACTGGCTCTTGATTCAGGGGACCTGAGTTCAAATCCTAACTCGGAGTGATTCCTGGGCATGTGACCTTAGGCAAGTTGCTTAAAGAGGTGATTGGCCTCACTGGCCTCTGGAGTGCCTTCCAGTTCCAGAGCTAGGAACTTTTTCTGTGCCACAAATCCTCCTTGAGGACACAACATGCCCTATGCTCACTGGGCATAGCTCTCCAAGACTTTTACTTTCAACCAAAGGCCTAATAAAGATCAGACCTTGGAGGATTTGAAAAAAGTCAAGACAGTTCCTCTTCCTGGTCCAGAACTCCACCCTGGACCTACTCCAGGACTGGAAAGAAGCAGCTCCACCTCTCCCAGAGTCCCTTCTGAGTGTACCTTTTATCTGGCTGACACATTTGCCAAGCCCATCCCCATAAATGCAGAGCTCTTGGCTCTGGGCCATGGGTTGCCTATAAATATGAGCCTGTGAAAGCTCCTGTGGTGTCTCAGGGGAGGAGAGAGAACCTGAGAAGCCCTGGATTCAGGGAACAGAATTTTAGGGAGCAGGAAAAGGCAATAATGCTGAGAAAAGATAAGGCAGTTCATTTCCTCTTGTGCACAGGCCTGGCTTTCTGGGGTCTACAAAGCAGTCTGAAAAGAGAAGAGAGCAACAAGAAGCTTTAATAGCAATGTCTCTCTCTCTCTCTCTCTCTCTCTCTCTCTCTCTCTCTCTCTCTCTCTCTCTCTCTCTCTCTCTCTCTCTGTGTCTCTCTGTGTCTCTGTCCGTCTCTCTCTATTTGTTTCCCTCTGTCCGTCTATCTCTCTCTTTTTCTCTCTCCTAAAAGCAGGGGCTCCCAAAATGACTAAATACTGCATGGAAAGTATGGGAAAATGGGCCAACCTTTGTTCTGGGCACCATGTTCCTGCCCATGCCCTCTGAATACATGCGTGTATGCGTGTGTGTGCGTTTGTGTATGCATGTATATGTGTGTATGTGCGTGTGTTTGTGTGTGTGTGCGCATGTATGTGTAGCTCAGATGCTCTCTGGGGAAGATCAGGGTTGAACCTAGGGGACCTTGGGCCACAGAAGCCTGGGATGATGTCAGCCTGCTGCTCAGGGCCCTAGGTGAGCTCAGGCTCCTAGGGGAGCTAGGGATGGAGAGCACGGTGCTATCACCACCTGGAGGAGCACAGTGAGCTGAGACTCAGAGGAGAAGGTGGTCCCTGAGGACATGCGGGTGACAAACACAGCCAAAACATTCTGTGGCCAAGAGATGCCCTGGGAGAGGGCTTATTACCTCTCAGGATCAGATAAGAAAATATTTGTAAAGTGCTTAACACAGTGCCTGGCACATAGTAGCCACTTAACAAATACTTGTTCCCTTCCCTTCCCTCCTTGATCCATTAGCCAGTTAATATTGTACTTTAACACGGCTCCCGCCCTTTGGAAATGCTCAGTCTTCTGGGGGTTTTAAGGGCCCTGCCCTCAGGGGGGCTCTGATCTGGAGGGGGAGACAGGACACATATTTACACATGAAATATTCCCATAAAAAACACTCAGCAGGGTCCTGCTAGAGTGTGAACTGCTCAAGGACAAGGGCTTTTTCTTAATCATCTTTGCATCCCTAACGAGCATTGGTTGCACACAGTAGACACTCAGTATCTGGTTAGTCATTAGAGTGAGTAGCAAGGGTTCCAAACGTTGTGGGCTTCTCCATGGGCTGGATCCTTGGAGTGTTGGAAGGATAGTGGTGTTCACAGCAGAAAAGGTGAAGTTTGGAGAAGAGGTGGTTTTTGGGAAGACAATCAGTTCCATATTGGACAGGCTGAGTTCATCCAAATGGCCAATGATGAGTTTATGGTGGACATTGGAACTCAGGAGAGAGGGCCAGATACATAGACTTGTAGGAATCTGCAGAGAGATAATAATTGAACACATGGGAGCTGATGAGCTCACTGAGAAAGTATAGAGAGAAACATACTTGGGTGGCTGGGGATGGACAATGACTGAGGGAAGGAGACTCAAGAAGGCACAGCTAGACAGGTAGGGGTAGGACTAAGAAAACCTAGACAAGAAAAGGAGATGGCTGATAGTTTCAAAAGCTAAAGAGAGGAGGTAAAGTAGAATGAGGCTCAAGAAAAAGCCAGTGAAGCTGAACATGAGGATATTGTTGGTAATTTTGGAAAGAACAGTTCAGGAAGAGTGGGGTCAGAAGCCAGATTGAATGGTCCTAAGAAAAAGGAAGAGACGAAATGGAGGCAACTAGTGTGGATGACTCCGTCCTAGTATTTGGAAGTGAAAGGAAAATTACCTTGCATTTACTTGATTGTGTAAATCTTATACTTCCCAAATAGGTTGTAAGCTCCTTGAGGGCAGGGCTCGTCTTTAAATTCTGTCTGGTTCCTGGATTGACTGATTGAGAGGGTGAAGAGCTTCAGGAAAACACCTCGTGGGTTTGGTCAAGTGAAGGATTTGTTTAGGGGTGGGAGAAGTCTGGGCACATTTGTAGTTAGCAGTGGAAACATTTTAAATTCCAACTCCCTCCCACTGAAACCACTCAGATTCTGCTCCTGGGAGCCTGGGTTCTGATACCTGAGCTTTTGCTTTTATCTTCCCTTGTTCTGAATGAGGGCTCTGTTTCACTTCCTGGGCACTTTGTTTTGGAGGCAGTGACTTGCCCAAGGTTACACAGCTAGTAAGCGACCGAGGCTGGATTTGAACTCAGGTCCTCCCGACTCCAGGGCGAGTGCTAGCTGCCCCATCCCGGGCATTTTCTTTCTTTTTCTTTTTTTTGGCTAGGCAATGGGGTTAAGTGACTTGCCCAGGGTCACACAGCTAGCAAGTGTTATGTGTATGAGGCCGGATTTAAACTTAGGCCTCCTGAATCCAGGGCCGGTGCTCTATCCACTGAGCCACCTAGCTGCCCCTATCCCGGGCATTTTCAAAGCACCCCCAGCTCCCTTTTCTGTACTGTCTACTTCCATTAGAATGTGAACTCCTGGAGGTCAGGGACTGCTTTGATTGCAGGTAATTGTATACCCAGCACTCAGCAGAGTGCCTGGTATATAGCAAGTGCTTAATAAGCACTATTTCATCATTCATTCATAAAGAGAAGGAATGACAGAGGGGACAGTCTCTCAGAGGAGACAGAAAGGAATGGGATCAAGAAGACAAGCAGATGGGTTGTAGAGAGAAAGGCCACGCCTTTCCCAGAGACTGGAGCAAAAGATGATTGAGCTGGGGGGAATAGCAGAGGGCTACAGTTGGAGAGAAGGGTTCTGCCCGTTCAGGATGGCCTCCATGTTCTCAGTAAAGCGGAGGAGAAGTCCTCTGCTGGGAGAAAGGAGGAGGCGATGGTCTGAGAGGTTTGAGAAGAAGTCTGGAGTAGCCTTGGTGGTAAGGGTGAGAATCATTCAGGGATGAAGAAAAGGATGTCTATGCAGGAGGGAGGGTCAAGTTGACTGGGTGACATGCTTGTACTGTATCTCCACGGATCAGTTTGTGGACATTGACTAGTTCAGTTTAATGGTGCATAAAATAACATCTTAGCAGCAGAGTGAAAGACTAGAGCTGTTCCAAGGTGGAATTGGCAAGTATCATCAGACTCATTGTATCCAACAGAGACTCAGAGATGCTGTGACTTGCCTATAGTCACACAATGTGTTTTGAGATAGGGCTTGAACAAACAGAATCCTCATTTTATAGATGACAAAATCGTTGGATCGAAAAGGTGGGGGAGGGGTGTAAGGTGGTGCAAGTATAGGAAGGAGCTAGGTAATGAAAGGCTATGTGTCTTTGGGCAGGTCCTTCAGCCTCAGTTTCCTCATCTGTAAAGGTCCCTTTTCGGTTTCTAGAGTGGCAAGCTCAGCCATGCCCCCTTCATCAGTCAGTCAGTCAACACGCGTTTACTGAGGTCCTACTGTGTGCCCGGGCCTGGACTAAGCGCTGGGGAGACGAAGAGAGGCAGAAGTCCGCCCCTGCCCTCAGGGAGCTCCCAGTCTCCACTGGAAGGCAATGCGAAGAGCGCTGAGCGCCCCAGGATCTGAGCGCTTCCTCCACGAGTGGCCTGGGAGAAGCCCCTTCCCGCCCCTGGGCCTCAGTTTCCCGCTCTGTCAAGAGAGAGGGCGGTGCTAGATGGCGCTTGAGGTCCGCCCCACCCCCGGGAGCGGGGAGGGGGCGAACGCGGGCGAGGACTACATCTCCCGGCAGGCCGCGCGCGCGGCACCGCACGGCGCGGGGGCGGGGCCCGGACGCACTGACGCCAGGGGGCGTGTCCGGGGGCGGGGTCGTTGCTGGGCTGCTGAAGCGGCTGCGGAGGGGCCGGCGAGGCTGCGAGGCTGCGGGCGGGTCCGAGCACAACCGCGGGGCGCGGGGAGGCCGGGACGCCGGCAGCGGCGGCGCGGGGCGGGGCGGGGCGGGCGCCCGGCCCATGGAGCGGGGGAAGATGGCGGAGGCGGAGAGCCTGGAGACGGCGGCGGAGCACGAGCGGATCCTGCGGGAGATCGAGAGCACGGATACGGCCTGCATCGGGCCCACGCTCAGGTAGCGAGCCGGGGCCGGACCGGACCGGCCCGGGGCCGGGGGCGGGCCGGGGGAGGGGACAGGCCGGGGCGCCCCGCCCCCCGAGACCGGGACCCCGCGGGGAGGGGGACCCCGCCCTGCTGGGCACCCCTCCATTCGGGAGAGCTCCCGGGGGAGCCTCGAGAGAGACGCGCCTAAGGGCAGGACCCCCGAGCGAGACCCCCCAAAGGGCGGGACCATCACCGGTCAGATCCCCCGCAGGGAGTCCTCCCCTCCCGGGAGGGAGCCCCTTCCCAGCGTGACCCTCTGCCCTCCCTGGGGGACTCCTCCATCCCTTTCTGTCTCCGCGAGAGCGGGATCCCCGCAGAGAGCAAGAACGACCCCCTGCCCCCTTCAGCTGCCTCTGTGACCTTAGCGCGACCCTCCCCACGCTTCAGGAGCTACGTCAGTTCCCAGCCCGGCCTTCTCCTTCCCCAAGGGTCGAGCCCCCACTCAGGAGCCAGACACCACCTCCCCAGGAGGGAGTTCCGTCCGCTCCCATGCCCACCCTGATCATCCCCTTTCCCATCCACATTCCTCCTTCAGAGAAGGAGATGCCCCCTTCCTCCAGGACCGACCCCCTAGCCCCCAACGCCTTACTTATCTCCCTCCTTCACCCTGCCTGGACCGTACACATTCTTCTCAGTCAGACCTTGCCCTCCCTGCTAGGAACCACTCACTTCTTCCTGTCCAAGACAGGCCCTGTACCCTTCCCCCATCCAGATTTCCCCCTTCCCCCCTAAGCATTCTTCTCCTTTGGTGAGGACCCTTCCTCCAGCCCGTCCCAATGAGACCCTCCTTTTCAGCACCTACCTCCCCCTTCCACAGGAGCAACCCCCCCTTCAGGGCCCCCCTGTGAGTGAAGTTTTCACAGGCATCCGCAGAGACATCCCCACCCCCAGGATCTAGTTCTAAAACTCGGGAGGTGTTTCTTGGCTTCCTTCCCCTCAGGTATAGGAGATACTGTCTCTCTTGGGGAAGACCCTGCCACCCCCACCATCACTTTCCTTTCTTTGCCCTGCTGGAGAGTCAGTCTCCTCCAGGAGTGACCCTCTCCCCTCCCTTCCTGCATCCCCAAGCCCTTCCAGCCCTTTCCCCAGGGCTCAGCCCGAGTCAGGTTCCCTTCTCCAGCTGGACCCATGGGACTAGAAGATGTAACTTCCCCACATATTCCCCTGCCCCCCAGTCAGATCTGTCTTCCCCCAGTCTTTCCCTGGAAGCACCTGGCCCAACCTAGTGAAGTTCTTTAGGAGGCAATACCATCCTTCCCCCAGCCCCTTCACCTTGGGAGGAGAGCTCTTCAGCCTCTACCTTATAGAGAAGATTGCAGCTCTGTCCCTCAAGCCTGGTCCTTTGGGAGGCAAGCTCTCCCTCCATAGTCCAGCCCCTGTGGAGTCATGTTCTGCCACTAGCAATGCTGTTCTGCTCAGGCCCCCCACCCCTTCTCTAGGAAAAGCTTCAGCTCCTTGGGAGTCTGGCTCCCCGAGCAGGGAGCTCTCCATCTCCAGTCAGGGTCTCCCAGGAGGAGAGAGACACCTTCCCCACTAAGAGACTCCTGTCCCCTTCCTCTTTGGCCCCTCTGGAGAGTCCCCTCTTCCATTCAGCTTCCCTCAGGAGGGATAGCCCCTCTCCACACACATTTCTCACAGACAAATAGGCCCTTCAACCCCTTCTGCAGGATAAACCTCCCTCCAACAACAGCCTAGGCCCTCTTGAGCAAGACTTTTACAGGATCCAGTTCCATTCCCTTAGAAGGGATGCCATCTTCCACCACCTAACCCCCGTGGAGAGTAAGGAAGTCCTCCTGAGGAGTGAGACATCCCCATTCTCTTCCCAAAGCAAGCTGCTCTGGAGAGTTAGAGCTCTGTCTCCCCAGCTAGGCCCCCGTTACCATATTCAGAAGTGATTCCTCTCCTCCCCTCTTCTTGAGAGTCAAACTTCCTCCGGATTGAAACATCCTTCCCCAAGCCTCAGCCCCTTTAGAGTTGACTTCTCCAAGAGGCAAACATATGCGCCCCTTAGGAAAGTCAAGGGAGTGGGACAGTACTCATGTCGCCTGCTTGCCCCTTCGTTCCCTCCATCTCCTTTCGCCCCTCAGTTCAGGGTGGTGAGCCTCTTTTGGTGATACTTCTCTCTTCTTCATAAAGAGCTAATCCAGATCCCCAGCTTTTCCAGTTCTGATCTCTGTCCCCAGCCTTCCCGTTCAGTTTAGAGATACTCAGTGTTTCGTCTTAATTCCGTAATTCCATGAAGAGTTTGGTCATGGAACCTTTTGGCCCAGAAATAAATTTACCACACTGTGCTCCCTGGTGCCCTGGGAGGGGTGGAATTTGGAAGCGAAAGAGGAGATTTGGTCCCCTTCCCTGCTGTACTCAGTCTCCTCCAACAACCCTTTCTGACCCGTGATTTCATGCGTCTGCTTTGGAGGAAGAAAATCCAACAGGCTTCAGAAACCGTAGGCCAGGCCCCGGGAGCTGCTGGACTGAAGTGATCCTGCTGATGCCGCTGCTTCCATTGGCCCCCCAGCTGGGGCTTTCCCCAAGTCTGGCTGGCTGGGGGCCTCCCATCAGTGTGTGCTGCTGCTCATCCTCTTCGGCTCAGCAGTCAGCTGCCTGCTTCTCACACGCAAGGCCAGTTCCTGCCCTCAGCGCCTGGATGTTATTCCTTCCTTATGGGTCCTTATAATCACTGTCATTCATTTCCCATCTTTATCTCACTTGGGCTTTATTAGGAATTCTCCCTCCCCCTCTTCCTCTTCCTCCCCCTCCCCCTCCTTACCTTTCCTCTCCCTACTCATCCCTCTCCTCTTTGCCCGTTGTCCCTGATGGCAGACCTAGGAGCCATTTGTCCTCGCCCTACCGTGGGCAGCAGGTGCTGCCTCTTTTGTGCGGGAGCCAGTGTGTGCCAGCTTCTGTCCCCAGGTGGCTTCCTCATCTGTGCTCTCCCGGTCACAGACAGCAGCATGGACAGCCCCCATAAGGCCTCTCCTGCCTTTTAGCAGGCCCTGGGGGGCAGCTTCTTCCCTGCCTCTCCATTAAACAGGAGTAATTCAGCACTAGCCAGTTCTTCCTACCTTCCTGCCCAAGGGAAGCATTGGTGCAAGCGGCCCCTTCCTTTCTGTCCTTGGTCTGTGTCTCCTCTGGACAGGTACGGAAGGTCCTCATGACCTCTCCTTCAGCCTCTGATGCTGCCGTTTGAGGTCCTAGGGACTTAGCTGTTCTGCCGGGGGAGCCCCCTGTGAATCAGGGACACAGGTTTGTTCCTAGTAGCTTGGACTTCTGGCTCCTTCAGTTCAGCCCTGGGGCTCGCAGGGAGCTCTGCACTGGCGACCAGAAGGACTCCACGTGAACTTGGGCAGATGCACATCACACCTCTGGCCTCAGTTTCTTTTTATGTTCAGTGCAGAAGTAGGATTGGTAATCCTTAAGCTTCCTTCCAGGACTTGCTGCTAGACTAGAGATAGCTGGTGGCCCAGTGGATGGAGGGCCATGCCTGGAGTCAAGAAAGGCCTCAGGGTGAATCTGTCCTCAGAAGCTTCCTCACTGTGTGGCACAGGGCAAATCCCTTAACCTCTGTTTACCTCAGTTTCCTCATCTGTAAAATGGGGATGATGATAGCACCCATGTCACAGCTGTTGTGAGGATCAAATGAGAAGATATTTGTAAGGAGCTTTCCCTAGCGCCTGGGACACAGTAGGCATTTAGTAAATGCTTGTTTCTTTCCTTCCTTCCCCTAGCTCCTTACCTTTGAGATGCCTCCTCAGGAGGGATACTCTTCAGCCTTGGCCTTACATAGGAGATTACAGCTCTCTTCCTCTAGTCAGGTCTTTCTGGAGGCAAGCTCTCCCTTTCTCCAAAGCCCAGCCCCTTTGGGGAGTCAGGTGCCCCAGGGCCTTTCCCAGAAGAAGCTGTAGCTTCCAGGGAGCTTGGCTTAGCACAGTGCCTGGCACACAGTAGGCACTTAATGAATGCTTGTTTCTTTACTTCTTCTGTGTCTTCTTTTTCTGAACCATTTTGGTTGTAAATCTTGGTTGTAGCCTATATACCCACTTGGCGATATTCATGTGCTCCCTGTTTCCTGGTTTGGGGATTGGCTTCCTTCCAACCTGGAGGAGGAGGTGCTACTGAGAAAGTCCTTGTGCCAAGGACAGCACTGTCCCTCCATTCGCCTTCCTTCACAATCTTGGTGTCTCACTTTGACCGCATACAATCAGTTACCGAGCCTTGCGGTTTTGAAGGCTGCATAACATCCTTCAGATCTGTGGGCTTATTTCCGCCCACACAGCCACTACCTTAGTTCAGGTCCTGATCATCTCTCCCCTGGACGACTCCAAGGTCTTTCCAGTTGGCCCTCCTTCCTCCAGGCCATCCCCAGGGAGCCCCTGAAAGGATTTTCCCTCCTGTGTCTCTCTTGAGCAGGCCAGGGACTCCCCACTGTGTTCATCTGAAGCCAGATACACACATATACATTTGGCATTTGAAGCATTTTTCAACCTGGAACTTTGCAGCCCAGCTAGCCGAGCCTTCTTGACCTTGCTCTGCTCCATTCCCATTTGGGCACTGCTGCATTGGCTTTGCCCCCACCTGGCATGCTCTTCCTCTTCGGGTCCCACCTGCTGCATGAAGTCTTTCTAGCCACCCCTGTCCCCCAGTTACAAACGCCTTTCCCCTCAAGGTGACCTCGTCTCTGTCATTGCTCATTTTTTTGCGTCCTTGTACGCATATCTGCCTCTTTTTAGTGTTTAAGTTTCTTGAGGGCAGAGACAGTTCCACTTTCATATTTATATTGCTGACATCTAGCATGGTGTCAGGATCTTGATAAATACTTGTCGATTGACTGTGGAAAGGGGTTGGTGTCTTTTGTTCTGCTATTGCTGTTACCTGGGGAAGTGACTCACCCGTCTCGCCTCATGAAGGAGCATCAGTTTCTGTCTCAGTCTGAAGCTTGGGATGCCTGCGCTGCATTATCCAAGCCTGAGTTCA